GTCTTGGAGAGTCTAAGGGCTCAGTTCCAGGAAACCTAGAATCGGACCCAAGAACCTACAACGAGGCACTCCAAGATAAAGATGCAGAATCATGGAATGTTGCAATGAATGCTGAAATGGAGTCAATGGACTCTAATCAGGTTTGGGATCTTGTAGAACCACCCAATGGGGTACGACCCATTGGATGTAAGTGGATCTACAAGAGAAAGAGAGGATCGGATGGAGAGGTGCAAACCTTCAAAACTAGGCTTGTTGCGAAAGGTTATACTAGATTGAGGGTATAAACTATGATGAGACCTTTTCGCCAGTAGCTATGCTTAAGTCCATTCGGATTCTCTTGGCTGTAGCGGCTCATATGGATTATGAGGTATGGCAGATGGATGTCAAGACGGCTTTCCTTAACGGAAACCTTCAGGAGGACATCTATATGCAGCAACCAGAGGGATTCATTGCAAAAGGACGTGAGCATCTAGTGTGTAAGCTTAATCGGTCCATTTATGGATTGAAGCAAGCTTCGAGATCTTGGAATATTCGGTTCGATGAGGTGATCTAGTCGTACGGGTTCACTCAATGTCCGGATAAGCACTGTGTGTACAAGAAAATAGTGGGAGCGTGGTGGTTTTTCTTGTGCTGTACATGGATGACATACTTCTTATTGGAGACAGTAAGAAGGAGTTGTCAGACGTAAAGGTGTGGTTGTCTAAGCAGTTTGATATGAAGGACTTAGGAGAAGCAGGACACATTCTTGGTATTAGGGTCGTACGAGACCGTAAGAAGAGAATGTTGTGATTATCCCAGACATCATACATAGATACTGTCTTGGCTAGGTTCAGCATGCGAGATTCCAAGAAAGGTACCTTACCTTTCAGGAAAGGAATCCCTCTCTCTAAGGAGATGTCTCCTAAGACGCCTCAAGAGATTGTGGACATGAAGACAGTTCCTTATGCATCGGCAATAGGAAGTCTTATGTATGCTATGTTTTGTACCAGGCCAGATATCAGCTACACCGTTAGCTTAGTAGCCAGATATCAAAGTAATCCGGGAAAGGAACATTGTTCTGCGGTGAAGAATATACTCAAGTACTTGAGAAAGACTAAGGAGTACATGTTAGTTTACCGTGCATACAGTTTGTTACCTCTGGGTTATAGTGATTCTGATTTCCAGTCAGATAGGGACGAGAGTAAGTCAACCTCTGGTTATGTGTTTACCTTGGGAGGTGGAGCCATTTCATGGAGGAGTGCTAAGAAGAAATACGTGGCAGACTCCACCATGGAAGCCGAGTACATAGCAGCCTCAGAGGCAGCGAAAGAGGCAGTTTGGCTCAGAAACTTCTTGGTGGACTTAGAGGTGATTCCGAGTTTGCCACGTGGTATCACCGTGTACTGTGATAACAGTGGAGCAGTAGCAAACTCAAGGGAACCACGAGCCCACAGAGCAAGTAAAACACATAGAGCACAAGTACCATCTGATCCGAGAGATAGTTGGTAGAGGAGACGTTGATGTTGTCAAGATTGCATCTGAGGACAACCTAGCTGATCCTTTCACGAAGAGTTTGCCGGAGAAGGTCTTCGTCAAACACGTGACATGAATGGGAGTCAAGTGCATGGCGATAGGATCGACATAGGTCTTTTAGAATAACAGATTGATAGGAATATACTTGTAAAAGCGAAAGCTTTAAGCATAAGTGGAAGATTGTTAGTGTTATATACTGAAAGCTTGGCTTTGGATGATATTACACTTTTACCCTTTATGAATGTGAAACATGTTAGATTAAACAAGTTCTACTTTCTGTTGTTTTGCATTAGATAGTGTGGGTCGTCATCGGGCGAACCGAAGATCATGCTATCTGTTACTCGCGAAAAAAGAATAAGTGGTTCACAACCCAGATGGACATGAACACCCCATCGCGAACGGTTGTAGTGTCAACTGTACCGTTTGTCTTGACTGATTAGTTGCACTAGTACATTTATGTATTGAACAGGAACCCAGAGAGGAGCAGTTCGTTTTATACTGATCGTCGTAAACGAACTAGGCCTGAGTTAATTACTGCGTACTCTTAACCCATAAGATATTAAACAGACATATATATGTAGTATATATTACTTTGATTCACATGGGTGAGGCTTAGTGAACTGGGTTAATAGACCCGCTGTCTTGGGTAATATTGCTACATGTAGGATGTGCTGTTAGGATATTTACGGACACCATGTGCGTTAGTTTGATGATGTCCCCGGAGTGAGTTCATGAAGGATTATTATGCTAAACCCTGCAGGTGGATTAATTCCGGCATAGTATTAATGTGATGAACGAGTGCTAGCTTCGGTGAAATAATAATAAATTAATTAATTCTTGATTGTCAGTAATCGAATTAATTAATGAACATTATATCTTAAACATGAGGAGATAAATCGAGTAATTATTATTGGAGTCTCAATTGTAAATTGGACTAGGTAAAGGGAATGCAATAATATTATGTTGGTGCCCCATTTAATATTATTTAATTAATTAAAATAAGTGGCTTGGTCCACAAGTAATTTTAATTAATTAAGGAGCCCTAATCCTAATCTCCTAAGGATCCCTACTGTAGCTCTATATATACATCATTAAGCTCATGGGAAGAGAAGAGAATTCCACATCTTGGAAATCACGCCCTACGCCTCTCTTCTCTCTCACAGTTCCCATTCGAGTTTTATCTTCTTCTTGTTGTTCCACTGGTACAAGATTAAGAGGTGTTTGAGATATACATTAGAAGACCTTTGGGTAAAGTGAGACGAAATATATTTGGTCGTACAGAACTAACCGGAGGTCCGATCAAGACGTGCAGCATACCCATACGACCGCCTCGACGAGAGCTTTCCAACGCCGCCGAGATCACAGACGTCCGACCACCCACGTGCCCGCACGCGCCGCCGCAAGGTCCCAGGACTGCAACTTGTCTTCATCCGTTTTGCACTCGTTTGATCTGGTTTTCGATCCGATCTTGTTCGTGCAATCCTAGGACGCAATTTGCAGTCAACAATTCATTGGTGTGCTGTGTACAGCCATCCAGAAGATCAGCCAGATCGCCATAAATTTTGAGCCGTAAGTTCTCTACGCAAACCTTTAGATCCGATGCGCATAGGTTTACGTTTTGCTATTGAATTCGTGATTTGTGCATAACGAGGTCTTCATTGATCCCAACACTTCCAAACACTTCCAAGCATGCGCACGACTTCGTATGGGGACAGACTGGTATCGCGCGTACTATGCGTGCGACCTAGCGTCCCCAGCTACCTCGTCACGTAGGCACAGTGCAGGGCCCTTATGTTTGCGTCGAGTTAGGGTCGAATTAAACCCTAGGCGCAACAGAACTAGTAGCAAATGTTCAATGCGTACTGTTTAATATTTTTGCCGACTCTGAGACATTTCTGATTTTCGCTGTTGGAGATTGTCTAAAACAAAGAGTCCGTTGTTCTGTCGGACTATGCCTCCACATCACCTTGGGCTTCGCACCATAGTCAATGGCTACTAGGGTTCGCCAAACCGCTGGTGGTCGCCGGAGGTTGCTGGTGGTCACTGTTGCTCGGTGCTGCCCATGTCTGCGTGCTGGTGGCCGAGACTGCACGCGTCTCTGTCAGGACTCTGCGTGTTGGACTGCCCGTGGACGTTTCCTGCTCGACCTAGGTCTCTACAGGACGTCACGGTCCGCTAGAGCACATTGAGACGTGAATACATTTGGCACGAGGCACTAGACATCATGCGAAGCACAAGGACGGGAATCCCATGTGGGTCACGTACACGACAATCGGATCGCACGCGGCATTTTTGGGTCATCAGCGCATCTCCTGGGCGATTGCGGGTTGCTATGCTGCACACGCTTGCACGCTGGGAAGATCGCGGTCTCCGGGCCCGTGGGAGCTAGAACGCGGTTTTCCACGGGTTGTGTAGTCTGGGACGGTGATGAGCGCGACCAAGTGCGGCTGGGATGCGACTAGTCTCTCCAAGATCTCCAGTGGTTGTCTAACTTCCAGAGAACTTCTCGGGGACATTTTTCTATGGTTAACGAATGATTGGCCGTAGCTACGAGGCCATATATATTTATATTTTTCGGTGAATCTACATTTGATCTTCTATTGTACGACCCAACATCCTCTCTGATAGTCTTGGTGGGCGAAAAAATCGGAGATATCTCGATTGTGATTTATAGAACAAGAGCAAAGAAGAAGAGAAGATGAAGACATGTGATTGCGGCCGAACTTGGTGCCGTCATGCCGCCATGTTCGGACGTGCACGGCGTGTCCGAAAATGCCGGCCAAAAGGCTCCAAGACCGGCCACAATCACAGGTCGGACAATGTCCAGTGGTCGGCTGGCCCAACATCCGAAAAACGTACAGAGCCTGAAGACATTGTTTCGCCAAAAATCGTATGGTAAAGAAAATTTTGCGACTTTCTAAAGTTTTTGCAGAAATGACAGGGTCAAAATGATCAGGGAGGCAGTGAATAATAACACTTCCACCTTTCAACTATTGTTTTCATTTTGCTTTTTAATTAACAGAATGTATGTGAAAGGTTTGTGTTCTCAAACCTTCAAATAATAGACAAACATCAAGAGTCCAAATTTGAGTTCTCCACCCCATCAAAGCATCAAAAAACCCAAGAGGCTTGCAATTATAGAAATAAGAATAAATTTTGAATGATGTTACATATTTATAATGGGGAAAAGAATACGTAGTATAGTGTTAAAGATGCCCTTAGCCGGACAACACTGTATATGCCATACTCTTTAAGTAATTTCAATATGGTCATACTTATTCGCGTGCATCGAGTCAAAAAAAACATAGAAACGCATAGAAAAACATGAGGTTGACTCCCACCTCAGCCACATCAACGGGTACATATCACCGTAAATTGTTAATCCAAATTCACCAATACAAATTACATCAGCTCCCACAATTTACCGTTTCAAGCAAACCAAGCAGTTGAACTTGAAGAGCTGAAAACGTGAAGTTGCGTCTGCAAACTCAGCCCTTGAGAACTTCTTCCAGTAATTCTCGGATGTCCGAGCTGTTGCACCCTTGGGACGTTCTGATAATATTGGGACTTTCATAATAAATGACATCAGTAAGTGGGTAGTTTCGGTTGGCGTGGAGCTGGTTGCTTGAGCTGCTGCAAACTCCATTCAGCACCACGGATTTGTGGATGCCGCCAAGCAAACCTTCATAGTCAGTGTCTCCACTTTCCCCGACAAATACCACCACTTTTGTCAGGTCCATACCCCACCGAAGGTATAAGTACCTATGAACAATACATTTATTCTGTTTTTAAACCAAGAAATAGAAAGAATAATCTCTTAGGGTCTTGTTACCTCCAACAAAATTTCAAAGGTTTCTTACCGGAAGATGTCAACTACAAGATTGGTTTAAAGTACTGTGTTTAAAATAATTCCAAAGGAATTCGAATGGTAGAATTGACAGATGCAAAATAAAATTCCTCGCTAAGAAACTGCCGACTGGATTCGTTTGCGTGCAGTCAAAATCACAGAAAATGGGGATGCCCTCAACAATAGACCAATAAATAACCAACAATTTAATTTTAAAGAATACTTGAAGCACAGCTAATTTTTCATGACAACTGTTACCAAATAATGCAATATGATCTATTATTTGTTTCTTTGTGTGTGTGTGTGTGTGTGTGTGTCAGCACCCACTATATATACGACGTCTCAATGATTTTCATTGAACAAAACACTCAGTATTATAATAAAAAATAAGTTAAATTGAATTATTTTGCTTTTATTACATGTTATTAAGTTATATAATAGGATCCAACTTCAAATCAAATACCATCAGCAGTAGTACTTTCAAATTCATTGTATCATCTGTGGACCGCGAGGAAATAGAACAAATGTTGTAAGAATGCAGAATCCTTCAGCAAGAATCTGACCTGAGAGCTTGCGAACGAGATGCCAGGACCGGAATGACATTAATCTTACTTCCGTTCTGGCAATAGACAACATGACAACGTAATGCCTGAATCCTCATAAGCTTCCTAACTTCTTTTACAGGGGGAATCTACATTGAAAACAAAAGCCTCAAGTTAAATGACAGCATATGGTTGTCAAATTAGTTGATCGCTCGAAAAAGAATGAAAAGAAGATGTGAAGGGGACACAGGCTTACTAACCACACCAGGCTTCTGCACTTTAAACGAATAGCAGTAGTCAGCTGAAGTCTTTTCATCTTCAACAACAACATGCTCTTTGTTTTCTCCCTTCTTATCTGTTATAGAAGCTGCCCAGCGTACTAAGGTCTTTCTCAACCCTTCACCACCCCACCTGTACTCAATATGCGAATGATAATATAAGTCCACAACAAACGGGTGGTTATCCTCCGAATTAAGGGATGAATAGTAGAGATCGCCACCACTGTTGCAGATGAAGGCGTCAAAGTCTGTCGGGCTCAATTTTTCTGAAATAAGAAAAGAACATATTTCTGTAATGTTGAAGGATGTTGCTAATATAAATCCCACCGAACCTTCAGCCCTTTCCTTCTCTAGTGCATCAAAGATCTTTCTAACACTTTCAGAGAGACCCGAACTCGCATCACAATCTACAGCAATCACAAAAATGTGCCTTCTCCTCCTCAGTGCTGGGAACTTGCCAGCGTTGGAATTCTGATCTCCAGGTTTCTGAGCATTCTTTGTGACGCCTTTGGACCATGTCAAGACAGCATTTTCAATCTTACTGTTCCGGTCTTCAAAGTCATCTACATTTTCTCTGCCCTCGGTTTTGTCCGCATCGAAGGAGAACTTCAAGTTCAAAGATATATCATGTATGTCCCTCAAGGAGTCGCTCGGTGAATCTGATTCTGAATTTTCATCATCATCATCATTGCGCAACCAACGAGGTTGCCTTGGTTTGCAACTCGCTATTTTTGAGAGATAGTTTTTACAGTGTTCCGGCCATGAAAAGAGGTGAATGTTTTTCAAACCGTTTGCCCTACATTTTGCCCAAAGATGCTTGTCAGCAACAAGTTTCAAAAGAGCATCAGCAATGGAATTCTGATCGTGCGGATCAACGAGGAGCCCATTGTCCAGAACCTGTATCACAAAAAGTAACATTGATGCAAGCTTCGCGAAAAATTAATAGGACATAATAACCTTACAGTTTTTTAACATAGTAAGAACATTAGAAAATTACCCTATGTATGTCAACAGGACCACCATTTTTTGTTGCAACAATTGGCAAACCATAAGCTGCAGCCTGTCAGTGTAGAGAAATCAGATTTTGATTTTCCAATTTCCATGAACTTTATTAAATTCGAGTGTAGCAATAAGGTAAACCTCAATCAGGGTAAGCCCAAATGGCTCAATAAAGGCAGGATTTATGAAAACGCCCTGTCAAAAAAAAAAAATAATGATAAACATTGAAGTCAACCAAAAACTGAAATTTATTTTAAATGTCAAGTAGCAGGTATGAGGAAATTGTTGTTGTCCTGTACATACACAGCAAAGAGTAATTACATATATCAATATTACTTCCAAAATAACACCAGATGCAGTTCCCGGTCTTTAATAAGATCGGTTTATGGTTTTAGTTGCCATTTGCAACAGTAACTCTGCGTACTCACTCATTTCAAATGCTTCATTCGTATATAAATATAACGAATGTCTATCAGCCTTACTGTAAATTGCAATAATCCTAAGTATGTAGTAACTAATGAGTTATCATAGAAGGGCAGACATATACCTAATATCCACGGACTGGTTAAGACTTCTGGAATCAGCTTTTAAATAAATAACTTCATGGAAGCTAAGTTTACGAATGGATTTGTTTTATTTCATTTTCAATTTTTTTTTTATTTTCTATAAGATAATTATGGAAAAGTTTGAGAGAGAAGTGAACTCAAATCATAAATTTAAAATATACAAATAGTATAATAATGGCTGTGGAATTATGCGAGTCACATAAGAAATTGTACAAAAAATGTATAATTATGTTTCTAGTTGTTTTGTGAAGTGTTTGAATGTGATTGCTGAAGCAGAGAGTGAGATTTTATATTTATGATTTGAGTCTGCTTCTTTTGGAAAAACTCTGAAGGAACGAAAATGAAATAAAGGGGCATTTAGGCACAACCTAAAGGATGTCGCAGGATGAAGTCCAACAGTCAGAGCCATTAAATAGAATGCATTGATATCCCGCCATGTGTTGTCTACAACTCTTGCAAAATATCACAGCCAACTTAAATTGTCTAAGGAAACAACTTGTTTGCCCACCTCTAATCCAGCTTCTCAACATAAAACATAATATTCTGACCTTAAATAAAGGAACTACTCTATTTATAACATTAAAAAGCTTTAATATCCTAATGACCAGATTGGTTTTGAATGGAAGCAGGATTCTTTTCCCATCCTACTTTTGTAAGTAAAAGGGAAGTTAATGGTCTTTTATTGTTCTATATGTTGTACTATGCCTGCAATCAACTTAAAAACATGGGGCGTGCAAGCTACAACTTGACCCATGGCTCTGAGTCCCTACACGGTTCAAAGGATAAAAGTTGCATCCACCACATGAGACTGAGAAACATACTGAAACTGAAACTGAAGGATGACACGTGACAGCCTTTGTGATAAAGTAAGGGTGCATTGAAAAAAGAAAATGAAAACTGAATTAAAGAACAGGGAAACGTTGGAAACTTGAGAGATTTGATTTCATGGAATCATAAATTATGATTTGACTTCTTTGGATTTTCAGAATATTTGATTTCTTCAGATTTTTTATAATGAAAAGGAAATGAAATATTTGATTTCTTCAGATTTTTATGATTTTCAATTCCTTTTCAATTACTGATGCAGTGATGCTGCTCCTAGAATCAAAGAGTGAGACTTAGTGCACTCTTCTATTTAAAGGCCTGATGTAAATCATACTAAAGATGAGAAAAAAGGAATTACTTCTAACTATTTTTCTTCCACATTTTTCTTCTATTTTTCATACAATGGTATCAGAGCCCTAGGTTCAGTATTATCAATGGTGGAAGGCGGAAGACGGTGGCAGGCTAAAATCTCACAATAGCGGCATCCATGGCGTGTAATAACAGCCATCATTCACAAACTTCTAATGGTGATTAGGCAAATATTTGCCATGGCGGAAAATTGATAATACTGCCTAGGTTTAGACCTAGGGTTATTTTCTATGGCAGACTGGGGAGAGCAACTGTAGAGACCCTACGTCTTCAGGAGAAAATGCTGTAAGTTCTAATGTAAATTTCCCCATGTTAAACAATGCCCAAGCTAGTGTTTCTTATCAAGAGCAATCGTCTTCTCCAAGTTTATTTCCTTTCATCAAGCCTTCATTCATGATCATAGAAAAATTGAAAAAGTTGAAACCAAAGCTAATAAATGCAACTTCAGTAGTTACTCCCCAACTCAGAAAGGATATAAATATTCTAATCCACTTATGATTTTTTTTTTTTTTTTTTTTTTGTTTTTCCAAAATCAACCATATTTTAAGGACATTCGAGGAAGAATTTCAAAGAAGATTCAATTATATACTCTAGCTTAAAGTGAAGAAGAAGAGTTAATTGAGGGAAGAAAACAGAAACTGAAATTATTATGAGATAAAAAAAGGACCCCGATATGCTCCTCTACTCTTTTCTCGATGCCTTAAAATACCTTAACCCAACTACATGAATAAAAACAGATTAGGGTTCTGAAGCAAAAGCCCTCCCATCACCTTATTGTATCTTTAAATACACAACTTCACTAAAATAAATACATAAAGATATAGATATGAAACACACTTGACAGAGTCGGAAGTAATAAAGTAATGGGGGTTAACTGCAAGATGGAACAGGCAAAGCTACCATGACACAGGCAATGAACTAAAAACGTTCAAAGTTGAAATTGCGGTAGCCAGATGATGAATTGGATTGAAGACTTTTCAAAATCCGGAGAGTGCTAGGTAGTTGAGCAGACAAATATGCTGATAACAAATGTTCATCACTATTGGGACCAAAATCAAATATTGATACATAGCGGAAAAAATCCACCTAGGTGCCACAAAAAGCCACAACATTTCTATTAGAATAGATGGGACTGATACAAACTCACTAACTCATAAGTCAGTGAAGTGATAACTAGTTGATATCATATCTCCAACATCCCGTGTAAAGATAGTTTAATGATATCACGAAATACCTTCCAAGAGATGGCATTGCCACACCATTCAAGTTACTTGCTAGAAAGTAAACGTTTTCAAGTTTCACCAAGTTTTAATAATTGTTTAGATTGATAACCGATAAATCCATCTTAAAATAAGAGAAACATGACGTGGGATTACCTTAGTTTTAGCGGCTAGACGATAGATGTCAGGAACATCAGACTGCTTGTGATGTTTGGGGTATGCCACTTGGCCGTAGAGATCATACTTGTCAATCAGCTTGAGAATTGAAAGAAGAAGAGAAGCATTCATGCCTGACATTTCATCAATATTATCTCGATTTCCCATTATCAATGTCTGCAGAACAGAATATTCAACATGAGTTCTAGGTGACAACAAAGTACTCCCGCACATCCATACTGTACGTTACTTACAAGGTTAGCAAGCTCCCTTAGCGGGCGACATTCCCCAAATGCTTTGACCAAGGTGGTTAGGTTTTTCTTTGGATCTGGCCTGGCAAGTGCAAGGATCATTGGCTTCCTCGGATTCGAGAAGAAACGCATAATCTGTGTATACGGCATTAATATATATTGGTTAAAAGAGATAATCTGTTTTAAGTTGACCCGAAGCTTAAAATTTCTAGAAGCAGGTTGATATATTTTCACAAATGGTAGACTAGATAGAAATACTGTTGCATAATGCTACATTGGTGAAGATCTGTCTTACTTCTGCCCAAATAGGTGGATCTGGAGACTTCCCATCTTCATTTCCTTCTGTTTCAGCATCCATATCTCCTTCATGCGGAATTATATGATGAAATTCCATTCCAGGTGGAATTACCTGCAGATAAATATTAGGCACTCAGAGACGCGATATCAGAATAGCATAAAAAGAAAGGGCATAGATTTAATGGGAAGGAAAATATTAAGTATGTTTACAGATGAAGACGAGAACTCCAAGATAGATCACACGGTTCATTTCTAGCTAAATGAATAGTTGATGTTATTATGATTCATTGTCACTATTCAAGTAAATCATGTCAATCTTCCAAATATGAGCTTTATCGAACAAATGAATTGAGGAAAATAATTTCAGCAATAGAAAAAAGGACCCTACTCGTGGATGATGAATCATTAGCACCACAGTGCAGTCCTCTTTCATGCATTTTACTTAAAAATGGGCAGTACACGAAGCTTCTTTGACATTTTCTTCTAGTAAGAAAGTCAAATGAACAGTCACTGAACAATCCTAATGAGAAACTTACTGCAATTAAACCTGGTATCAGATACTTTTCACCACAATAGAAGAATTTTCAAAACATGCTAAAAACAAAGCAGCACTTATATTATAAAGTGTACTTACAACCATGCGAGGCATGAATCTACCGTAACAGCTCACGTTACGCCTAATCCGTGCTCGTAGTTTACGCTCTAGTATTGGGTCAAAACCATCATATAATCGCCACTGCTCCTCTATTTCCTGCCTTGTGCTGGTAATGACAATTTCAGAGGCATCGAGGGATAACTCTTCTGCCTCTATCCTCCGCATTATTTTGTAGGTAGAATTGATCTCATCCCGTGAAAGTCGGCCTTGTCTTAAAAGTTGTTCCAGCTTATCACGACCAAGTGAATGACCAGTGAAAATCATGGGCACATTCAGGGCACCGGATAACAAAGCAGCTGAGTCACCAGCATCTGCATAATGTCCGTGTATGGCAACAGGCCATACTGGATTGCCATTACCAACTTGCTCCCCAAGAACCTTTGACATCTGTATAATATGGTTAAGAGCACCATCGACAAACTCAGGAATGTGGGGCCAAAGCAGCTCTTTTGGAATATATTTATCTTTAGGCCCAAATGGAATGCGAACTATATAAGCACCACTACTCTCTCCCATTTCATCCATCAAGCCTTCGGAATCTCGCGGAGGCAGCATCTCTGTGGGTTCACCATAGCTCCAGTCTACCTCTGGTGATGATACTTGTCTAGTAAGCAAATCAACACGATACACACCTGGCATCGAACCTAAAGCTCTAGCTAGTTCAACAACATACTTTACCTGTAGAAAACAAACAAGGAAATCCCCTTTATGAACATGAAATCACAGAATCAAGCCTGAGGGAGACGATTGAATTTTAAATAAAACATGGCCAACTTCCATTGTATGGTACACATCAAGTATCCCAGAGATGTATAAATGGAATTTGGACACTACCTGCCCCCCGGTATCAGAATCACGACCGAGCTCCATGTTTTCACCACGTATTAAACCATGAAGGCTGCATGAGACAAGTGTCAACTGTCAAGAAAGCATGCATCCGAGTGTCATATGAGAATGCGGATGTTACATCATTTAAAAAAACCATGAATCTTCATATTCTAACATATCCTCAGTGGCTTGGCTGAGGCTGACTTAATCACAGAAATTTTTTACCTTTGATACATGGAATTTGAGATAAGTATGTATGTCATGGTAACTTAATCTGAATGAATATATCAGGAAGCAAGTCATGACCAACTCTTTTCAACCCAACAAGATACTAATAAAAAAAAAATAAAAAAATAAAAAAATAGAAGGAAAAAAGATTTACACCATACCTTATTAAAACAATATACAGATGTTTCCCCTTTTGTTGACTAACCCAGGCCTCCATATTATCAACAGAACTAATTTTTGGCAAGCGGCCCCTGTTGCTTTCACCATGAGCTGATATGTCACTAACTAGATCTCCTTTCTCCCCCTCAGAGAGGTCTTCCGACATATCAGCAACTGCTTCTCTGCGACCTCGTTCACGTTCAAGACGTCGTTTCGCCATCCTCTGAGCCTCCTCTCCCTCGAGCTAAACAAATGAATTATTTATCACAGTACTGAAGAATTGAGGGGAATTTTAGACACTAATACGTGGTATGCAAACAAATTCAACAATACATGCCTACAAAAATTTGAAAGTAGTACAACATGAAAAAAAAATAAAAGGAAGGAAAAAAAACATTAAGAAACTCAATAATTATTAAACAAAAGTATAACAAAACAAAAATAATAAAAGAAAATATTAAACTAATTATGTTGGCAGTTGGTAATCGCTAATTAGAGTGAAGAAATAAGGGAATCGCACAAAGCACATGGCACCAGTGTAAAGAATGCTTAATATTATAAATCTAACAAGTATTTTTAGTGATATTGTGACACGACTTATGACTGCAGCTCTTAGAGAAAGTTGTGATTGTGAGGATTATTTCAATAATGGAACTTGGAGTAACTAAAGACGGGACATAATTCAAATATACTTCCACAACATATTGAAAGATAAACCTAATGGGTGTGACTAGTGCTGAGGCATAGAGAATTTATAAGCTAAGTAATTGAACAGCTCCCAACTTAGCTTGCAACTTCAGTCCAAGGTCAGCAACTCAGTGGCCATGAACTAAATGGACTGTTAAAAAGCTAGATACTGTTGCTCCCCTCTTCAAACTGACATTCATCCTTATTTGCATTTCTTGAAGCAAGTTCATCACAGGTACAATAATTTCATAATTCACCACATACTTTCGCCTTCCAACTTAGTTATGTTGCATAACATGGTAAGCAAAAACGAAAAAAAACCTTGAAAACAATCATATTGTTTTGAACAAATGCCTACAAAAAAGTTAATTCTAATAGCAAAAACTGTTCCGAAGTACAGCTTACAAACTCTCGAATATCATTACCCACACGAAACCCCTCTAGCATCACACTGCAGTTGATCAAAACTAACAAATGTCTCCCGAAAAGCATCAGTTGGATAATATAAGGCACAAGACTAAAGACAGCGATCATAAACAGTAAGACTCAGTGAATCACACACCAAAACATCCTCCATACGGAAATCTATAAAAAATCAAAGAACCTGCTTTTTCTGGCGAGCCAAATTCCAAATTCGCCAGCACATATTCTCCAACCTCGTATTTCTTTCCTTGGGACTTCGCGTTGCTTGCGCCTAAATTTCACACAAATATACACATAGCTCACATACATCAAAAAGGATAATCACACACACACACACACACACACACACACACACACACACACAAACACATTAGAGCGATAGAGAAGACATACTCGAACCCATGAGCGATGAAGATCGGTCTCATCGAATCCCGTGATCACTTCCTCCACAAAGTACCTCGTGGGGCTGAATCTCCCCCTCTCTCGAAGCAGTAGAGACGACTTCACCTCGTCGATGCCTGGGCCCACGTCCAGAATCGCCTCCAGGTAGCTGTTTATCCAATCATTTCCAGCCATTGATCGATCCTATAGATTTTCCGTAACCGTCGATATGTATATGCTTGTGAGTGACTGCTGAAAATTGGGTAAAATCACGTTATGTGAGAGAGAGAGAGAGAGAGAGAGGGAGGATGTTTCTGGTGGTGTTGATGACTGATGACGGAATATGGGAGAAAAAGTTTTTCTTCTTTATAGAGATTCTAATTCTATTTCTAGGAGTAGTATTAGGCACACTACCCCAATATACATTGGTGACAACAATTTGACTTGAGCCTACCCTTTCTACTGCTCAAAACCAAAGAGGGTCGAAAAGGTTATTCTACAATCACGTCACCTCAGTGTACCCATAACACCAGTGATAGTGTGCCTTGGCACACCTTGCTAGGTGTGCCAGGCCCGATTTGCACGCGCCCCTCAGTTAAAGTAAATATTTGAAGTTGCTTTTTACTGCACGTGAAACCACGCGCCCTGTCAAATCACATCATTTCACATTTTTTTTTTTTACTCAATTTTGCCGGCATCGTGCCTCGAGATTCCAACTGCTTATTCCCCAACTGCAACTGCAACTCTTTTTCATTCTCTCCATTTTTTCTCTGAATTTTCTCTGTTTCACGATCAAAAATTCCCGGAGAAGACAATTTTAACTGAAAAACGCTCAATTTCCGACGGTACCTACTTCACAGGTAAGATTTCTTTGGTTTTCATGTCGATTAAATTTCAATTTCATAGATTTTAAATGTTAAACTTAGAAATGAAAAACCCTACTTCATGGCAGATGGAAAAAAAGACATTGCGGAATATGTTGGTATGTATTTTTTGCCTTGGGTTGAAGTTTAAATCCGATTAGAGATTCAATTCACTTTCCAAAACCCTATTTTCAATTTCAAATTTCTGTGCCTAAGGTTTAAAGTAGTCATTGCAGAAGATTGTATAATGTATTAATTTTTTGCCACATAGGATAAAATTAAAGCCCGTAGGAAAAAGAGTTCGAAACAACGGCCAAAAAATGTTGGTGAACGGTATGTCCGTCTTGTTCATCTTCATTCGTATATTGGTTCATTTGAACATGTTCAATTTTCTTTTAAACATATTCATTTGTTTATTATTATACATGTTCATTTCGTTGTTATACATGTTCAAAGAACATCTTATATAGAATGTAGACATGTTCATTAATTGAACATGTTCATTATACAATATAACAAGTTCATTAAATACTGAAACATGTTCATATCATACTGTAACATGTTCATTTTATATTTGAACATGTTCATTACATACTAAAACATGTTCATATCATACTGTAACATGTTCATTTTATATTTGAACATGTTCATTATACAATTTAACATGTTCATTTTGAACTGTAACATGTTCATGATATTATTTTTGTAGAAAAAGAAAAACTGATACTCTGAGTGAGCAAACTGAAAGAAAGAAGCCAAAATTAACCTATGAAATAAAAGAAGAAGGGGGATTCTTAAATAGAGTTTCCCCTCTAGCGTTGTGCAAATTTTTCAAAGACTTGGATGACCGACAGAAAGAAGATGTAAAGAGTATAGGTTTTGGTTATCTTCTCGACATGAAGATTACACAGATTGCACAACCAGATCTTTGTTATTTCTTGGTCTCAAAGTACAGGTAATTTGTGAAATTTGAATTTCATTAGAATATACAACATGTTATTTTCATTGTACAACATGTTCATTTTCTTACTAAACATGTACAACACATTATATCACATGTTATCACAGGTATGCCAGTAACACTCTCATTCTCCGCGGTAATAGAGAGATGAATATTACCGCTGATGATGTTGAGGCTGTTCTGGCCTACCGAGAGGACCAAAAGAGTTCATTGAGGGAGATTGGTACGACAAAGACGAACAATATAATAAGATGCTTGGGGATTTGAGGGAGACCTTTGGTTTTAAGCGTACGGCTGGAGCTCCAACAGCCAAAAAGCTGGTGCAATATTTAACTGGAAAGGACGTTGAGAGAGGAGGACAGAGAATCTATGGAGATGACTTTAAAAGAATTTTTGTCATAGCTGTGGTGTCCCTTTTTCTCTGGAGAAATAGGGGCCAAGAATGCAAGTTAAGATTGCTCAAATCGTTGCGAAAACCATCTGACATCATCAATTACAATTGGTGCCAGTATGTGTTACAAGCTCTTTCTGAATCGGTCAAGATGTGGCATGAAAGTGATGGAGAGGCCCATTTTAATGGTCCACTGACATTCTTGGTGGTATGCTATCTGGACATGGTCCAGTTTATGAACAAGACTTATGTGCCTCGGAAATTCCCTGCTATTGCTTATTGGACAAATCAAGCAATTTCCAAGAGAGTTAAGGAAGAGCAAAGTGGCCAGGGTTTTGGTATGGGGTTAATTCTTGATCCCATCAAACCACCAGGAGATAGAGCGCATCAAGCAGCCACATTAGCTGATGAACATGTGGTCGAGGTAAATTCTGTTCATAAGTTTCTACAACATGTGCATCTTATCATACAACATGTTCACAAAATTATATAACATGTTGATCTTTATTCTGAAACATGTTCATCCCTTCATACAACAGCTTCATACCTTTAACCAACATGTTCATCTCATTATAAAAAACGTCCATATCATAATGTATCATGTTCATATTATAATATAACAGCTTCATCTCATACAAGTTTTTTTCCTAAAAAAGAAACAACAAGATGATTTAGTTGAAAGGTTTGAAAGGGCTATGACAAATATAGCACCATTCGTGTCTGAAGTTCGAGAGGTGTGTGAAAGGGCCAAGAGCTCAGATTTCAGTGCTGCCTCATTATTCATCATGCACTTCAGAACCATGCATCAGATATCATGAAAATCGCACAAGGTGTCATTGATGTGCATAGAAATGAAGGAATTGATGATGAAATGGGTTCTGATGAGGAGCGGGAACAAGTTGCAGGTAACATGTTCATTTCATTCTTAAACATGTTCATCTGATTGAATGACATATTCATTATCTTAAACATGTTCTTAAGCATATTCATCTCATATTTAACATGTTCATTTCATTATCTAGAAAATGAGGATGAGGAGTCAATTCATGTAGAGGTTGGAGATGTTGTTTTGGTGCAAGAACAAGAAGGAATTGAGAATGAAGTGGCAAATGATCGAGAGGAACATGAACAAGAACAAGAACAGAATGGAGGTAACATGTTCATTTCTCTCTTAAACATATTCATTGTATTGCATTATATATTCATTATCTTAAACATGTTCATTATCTTAGAAAATGAGGAAGAGAAAGAGGATGATGTGCAAAAAAATGAAGAAATTGAGACTCAAATGGCAACTGAAGAGAAAGAGGATGACGATGTGCAAATAAATGAAGGAATTGAAACTGAAATGGCAACTGAAGAGAAAGAGGATGATGATGTGCAAAGAAATGAAGGAGTTGAGACTCAAATGACAACTGTGGTACAACAAGAAGCACAAGGTACAGGTAACATGTTCATTTCGTTCTTAAATATGTTCATTTTATTGACTAACATATTCATTTGGGTCTGAATATTTATTTATTCATTCTGACGGTGAAGGAATTCAATGTGAAGGGATTCAATATATTTTGTCAGATATTTTCAATGAATATGGGGATGGAGAAGACAGTAATAAGGAAGTGGATGAGGATGATGTTGCGGTGCAAACACGGGAAGGAATTCAGAAAGAACTTGCACCTGATGGACAGCAAGAAGCACAAGGTACAAGTAACATATTCATTGCTTTCTTAAATATGTTCATTTCATTGAAAAACATATTCATTTGGATCTGAAAATTTATTTATTCATTCTGATTTTGAAGGAATTCAATCTATTTTGTCAGATATTTTCAATGAACATGGGAAGGGAGAAGAAGACAGTAATAAGGAAGTGGATGAGGATGATGTTGTGTTGCAACAACATGAAGAAATTCAGAAAGAACTTACAACTGTGGGACAACAAGAAGCACAAGGTACAAGTAACATGTTCATTTCTTTCTTAGATATATTCATTTTATTGAATAACATATTCATTTGTTGTCTGAATATTTATTTATTCATTCTAATTTTGAAGGAATTCAATCTATTTTATCAGATATTATAAATGAACATGGGAAGGGAGTAGAAGACCGAGAAGAAAACACTCTTGAAAAAAATGAACTGCAAGGAGATGCTTCAGTAGCAGAAGAGCTGGGGGAGAAGACTCCAAAAACTCCATTTGAGAGAAGATTAATATTTGAAAAGTATATATTTTGTGCTAGTCAAACATTCAACTTGCAAATTGACAAATTAACTAATATTATGAATATTACAGGATGGTTCTTGGAGAAAAAGGCAAGAAAGAAAGCGATTTGGATCCCCCTTTCCTTTCAACTCCCTTCTGGAAAGGGCATGCTGAAATCAGAGGCAAGTGCACTCTGAAGGAAAGACCATTTTGGAACTTTATAATGGAAGGGGGCAAGGACAATGCTAAAAAAACCACGTATGTTCATTTTATTCTGTAACATGTTCATCCGGTTGTATGAAATGTTCATTAAATTATATAACATGTTCATCCGGTTGTATGAAATGTTCATTAAATTATATAACATGTTCATCTGGTTGTATACAATGTTCATTATACTATATACCATGTTCATCCTTTCTTTGTGTAACTGTTACAGAGAAGTCATCTTCGAAGGATTACAAATGGTCTGCACAAGAGAGGATTTCCAGACCTTCAAGCTTGGAGAGTATATTTCAACAACAATTGTTGATGCTTGGGCGAAGCACTTGCATTTCAGATTCTACAGCTTGAATAAAAATAAGAATAAATTCTGCTTAACGACTAACGTCATGGTAAGAATCCATATGTGATGAACTATTAACACCTCGCTATATCTCTTACACTAAAATTCGACATACTTTCTATATGGGATTGTCCTTCCAAGGTATGAGTAACAGAGATGTGAAGGAATATGTGAGTGATGCAGCTGCAAGGATCGATGTCGAGTTCACAGAAG